AGGGAAGTTAAGGGCCATGAGTATCGGGCAGCGAGGTTCACTAAATCACAGCTGTTTGTTATTGTTCCTTCCTGCCCTGCTTCCTTTCTTCCTTCCTTTTCCTCTCTGTGAAGCTGTCTCCCGTCGGTAACTGGAGCTCCTAACATCCATTCCAAACAGGAAAAATCATTCAAAAACTCATGGAGTTTAAGTGTTCAGGATCTTCCTAGTGCATTTTTTGGCCTTCCTCTTTTTTTCTTTGTCAGTTTACCCCATTCCTCCTCTGCATTGTCCCCTTCTCTCTACCTCACATGCATTGGCCAAACAACAGGCCCCTTGTGATAGCAAACTGAGGAAGTTACCAATAAAGGGAGATATGTATTTGACCGGAGAAAGCGAAGGAGGAACGGGTGTGTGTATTAAAGCCAAAGAAAGAGTCATCTGGAGATGTTTAAGTTGGACAGGCCAGTTTCCGGTGTCTGGAACAGGCCAAAAATATCCAGAAACAGACACATCCAGCAGGGAGGGGAAAGGATACACCTCCTCTTTTCTCATGTGACCTTCTACATTCAGCAAAATAAGCTGAATTTTGGGCCTGCAGGATAAGCTTTGGTAGCAACAAAACTGTTCAAGCCAAGCACATTACATTTAATTGCATCTTCATTTTGCTTAATGTCTGGGAATGGAGAATTCCAGATGAATCCTGCAAATGTAGGACTATAAATCGGCTGTTGTATTTCCAATATTGTGCAACTGCATTTGGTTTAGACAAACTGTATTTTCTGACAGACTGATCTAAAAAGAAAAGATGATCTTTAGACAAAAATTGGTCAAGTATCCTTGATGATGACTGCTTAGCCTGATTGTACTACATATGTATGCATACTGTTCATGTGCTACATGTGGCCTCACTGTATTCATCATGTGGGGATTACTCATGTTGTAAAACAATAATAGAAACAGACAAGCGTACGCTTGCTGAGTTTAACAAATACTTTACTGACAGTGGGTATAGGCTTTGCTCTGCTTTCAAAGCCCACACTGGTGTATGGTTCCACAAACTGGACTGATTTTGTTATGTTTACAACCTGGTGGTCTCAACGGCTGCTGCTGCTGCTGCTGCATAAGGTGAACACAAGTGCCCAATTTAGGTCATACAAAAAAAAACAGTCACTCCAACGGCTGCAGTGGACTGAAGGCCAGTCACCCAAGCCAGTAAACCTGATAAGTCAGGAAGTGACAGGCTAGAAAGATAGAGACCGATCCAGGGATGTAAAGTTCTTATTGAATCTCCTACTTTTTAGCAGAGCCATTTTAGGCTTATGGATATAGATCAAACACAAACCTATGTTGCTGTAAAGTAATAAAACATAGGAGGACTGGGTCTTTCGAGGCAGCTCAATCTCCCTCACAAAGCCTTATTTCTGTAAATACAACTGATTTTACACAGCAGGCAGAGTGTATCAAACTGCTCATTGTTAGGTATCAGTGCATCACTTGTTTTAAAGGCAGGGTATTAATGTGCTCTGCAGACACAGATGTCTGTTTGGGTTTGTAGACACACACACACACACACACACACACACACACACACACACACACACACACACACACACACACACACACACACAGCAGGGAGAGAGAGGTCTGCAGTTTCTCATGGCTGTGAGCTGCTGCTGCAGAAAATGTCCCCTCATCTCCTCCTCTCCCCGCCCCCACATCTTGCCTCCATTATTCCCGTGTTTTCGAAGCAACTCTGATGACAGCGAGTAACATAGCTGGAAGTGAAGGCAGGCTGGAATACGCTCGACCGTTAACAGTTTCTTCCGCTCGTCCCCCTCGGTTGCTGACCGTTGGTACGGTCTCGCGCTATCCGCACGTTCACTCACCGTTTGTGCACGGTGCCGGTGAGAGAAGAGAGGGGGGTTAGTCGACCAGGACTAGACCCGTGAGAAGCTCACTGACTTCGGAAGGAGGGAGGAGAGCAAGCCGTGGAAGAGGCTGCACGGTCGCCAAATTGTCTCTACATTAGAAAGCGAGGACCTGAGATGTAGCGTCTCTGGTGAATAGAAGGGAGCTAAAGAGAGCTGCGCCGCTTCACGTTAACTAATGGTCAGTAACATGGATGCTGATGTGCCTCTTCCTCTAGGCCAGCCGGGAAAACGGGTGTTTTTTGACGATTTTCTGGCAGTGACACGACTCGTTTCTTTCTGGGATTAATCATTTGTTTTTTTGAATATTTTTCTCTGCTCTTGCAGACGGTTTTTGTGTGGGAGCATTGCAGGGGGCGTTTGTTTGCAAGGTAACTAACTAATGATAACGTTAGTGCTGTGGCCAGCAGTGGACCAGGCATCACTGTCAGCTAACTGTTTGTGTGTGTGTCTGCTATTTGGGTGTCCGCTCCAGCAACATAATTAAGCATTTTGAACATGGCTGCTTTATTCATTGTTCATTGTCACGTTTTGTCTTTTGATATCACCGTGTCATGCCAATGAGTCAGGAATGAGGTTGTTTCATATCCAATACAAACCTGACTAGTAATGGGTAAGACATTTTGGTGGGTTACATGCAGAATGAATCACACACCAGGGCAATACCACATGTGTTTGCCTATGTTTCTCCCAGGTTATTTTCTCTCGGATGTAATGTCCACAGCATGCATTGGTTAGAGCAAAGATGCTGTAAATATATTCAGTGGTTTTTATCATAAAATATCCTGTACAGATATCTGTCTTCACTGTCTCATGGTGTAGCAATATTCCACATGTTCCTTTTTTGTATTGAGTGTAATTGGTAGAAGCTATTCATAGAAACTTTATTGCATTTGGTTTCATGGTGGAAATAAACTCAGTAGCATGTGTCCAATCCCACAAAGTGAATTTCAGGACTAAAACCAATAAGCATCTGTCTCTGCCAGATTGAGCTCCCTAATTTTAGCCTGAAGGCAGTGATTTGTTACCTTGACGTTAAGGTTCGTACAATTCCCAGGTGTCTCAAGCTGTGTGTGTGTGTGTGTGTGTGTGTGTGTGTGTGTGTGTGTGTGTGTGTGTGTGTGTGTGTGTGTTCTCTGTCTGCATTGCAGTTAAAGGTATTCTGCAGACAAAATACAAAAGTACAGTAGGATGTTTGGTCAGTACTCTAGCCCTTCTCTTCTTTAGCCAGCAAAAAAAGAAAACTGAAATTAAATATTTGCATAATAACTGTGCACCAACGTTGTATACACTAGGCATCTCAGGATTGTTATACTTTTTATATTTGTCTGGAAATAATCATGTTTACACATATGATCCTCCACTCAGTTGCCATGACAGTACCACTTAAATCAGTGTATACAGTATAAACATGAAAAGTTTTGGAAAGATAATGTAACTCCATGAAAGGACATGAAAACAAAATAAATATTGAAGTGTGTGTGTTAATGTGTGCACAGGTGCACCCAATCTTAAACCCTCAAACCACAGGAGATCAATGGTGAGAGGGAGGGCAAACGAAACCCTTCAAAGTAGAACTAGAAGCTGCACTCACACACACACACGTACACACCAACACACACACCCCAGTAATCATTCAGCAGAGTTCACACAGAGATGAGTGTTAAGACACAACTCTGTCACTCCTCTCCCTCTATTTCTCTGGTATTTTCAGCTCTCTGCTAAAGCTGCCACCTGGATACAAGCTGGCATAAGCGGTGAGAAAGTAAGAGTATGTTATTCTCATGTTGTGGACACACCCTTACCAAATTGCAAGTGCCTCAGGTGGCCAATGTGATCCGTGTGGTGAAGAGTTACAAACCGGTTACGCTTGCGCTTGTGTTTATGGCATCTACGTTTGGAAGGGCTTTCTCATTCCATTTTTGACAATGATTATGTCCCTCCACCTTTCTTTCTTCCCCTTCTCCAATTGTTACCCTCACACACCTCCCCCTGGTGTCCCGCCCCTTTTTCCAGATGTGAGGGGGGGGTGGGAGGAGCCAGGGGGTATTTGTGTTCCTCTGGGTCCCCGCTTCCTGTGAAAATTGTAGAGAAACTCCACATGTGCTGAAAACACCAGAAAACACAAACAGACAAATGCTGAATACTCTGCTTTGAATTTGTCAACCTAGTCCTCTGATTGTTTACATTTTACCCTGCAAGCACATTTTAAGACAGCTTTGAATAATTGGCTTGGGTTTTTCAGTTGTAACAGGTTTTATCTTACTTGTGTGTATGTGGCACATATTTACAACAGTTGACTATTAAACCATTGCACCTGCTTCAGTGTTTACACTTGAACTTGGCAGACGGATTATCACTTTATTAGCGGCTCTACTCTGTAAACTTTGTATCAACAGCGCAGAGAAAAAAAGTTACGATTTTTAGCGTGCAGCTTAATTTATTGTGGTCAATGAAGTCCACTGATGGATAATGGATTTCCTGCTCAAGAAGGAATGCTAGAAATGTCAGTGAGGTAGAGAACAGCGCAGGACGTTGTCTCTATTGGCCCATTGTGTGGGTTCAGCTAACCTTATTAAGAATTCACTGAGATAACTAGCAATGCACCAATACAACGTTTTAGTCCCAGTTACAATACCTGGGCTATAAGTATCTGTTGTATACAAATCTTACAGTCTGTATCGCATATTGCTTTATGTCTCACTGTGTTGAAGAGACTGGGATCATAATATTTTGTGTAAGCTAACATCAGACTTGATTTTAAGTTAACATTGCTTTCATAACTTTGTAAAAACCAGCAGAGTTACACATTGACTTTCCAGATTTAGAAAGTATATTGACGTAGCAAGCAAGAAATACCTCAAAACTGTTGTCATATTTGTTGTTGACCAATCTACTGGCGTGCTGCTGACAAATGACTTAGTATGCGTATTTGTAACCAGATACTTGCTCCAACTAATTGAATCATCAGTATTGGCTTATTTTGATCCATTTAACACCCTACTTTTAAACTATATTAATATAACATGTAATATTTTTAAACACATTTTTGACTGGAATCCCTTCTTTCTTTTTGTCTGTTTTTCTCAGATGACGGAGGGGAGGCGATGTCAGGTCCATCTGCTGGACGACAGGAAGCTGGAGCTGCTTGTACAGGTGAGTCTCTCCTCCTCGAACCCTCTCGCTCTACCCTCTCTTTTTTCCCTCTCTCTTTCTTCCCTCTCTCTTTGCAGACTCTCCTTTCCTTAGAGCGAATATGCAATGTGTGGTGTCCTCAGGGACTTGGTTACTGCTGACCCAGGGAAATTTGGTCAGCAGTAGGTGACTTTGCTTTTTCTTAATGCTCATCTGATCCTTCAACACACACACACACACACACACACACACACACACACACACACACACACACACACACACACACACACACACACACACACACACACACACACACACT